AAATGTCCAAAATAAAAAATACAAACAGTGATTCTTAGCATTTGGAATAATTCAGAATATCACTGTTAGAGCAACATTATCTCATTTTTTTTCCTACCCAGCTACCTAATCTTTCCCTAACACCAGATCTCTCATTTTTAATACCTAATTAAATAATTAAATTATAGTATAAAATATTATAATTGGTTACTCTTGGATTATCTCAAAATCATAGATAAGGATTTTACAAAAGTAGTCATGACACATGCTACAAAATAAATACAGAAACTTTGAAGAATATGAAGGACACATACATCCATATTAGACAGGGAAACAGAACCATCTATTAGGTACTATGCATCAAAAAAGCAAATCATTTCTTCACTAAATACATTGAATCATATGTTGTAATTGGCTCCTTCCAGTTCTCATTGTGATAAGCTTCCTTGACTTGATATGATTCCATAAATTGCTAAATATATAACGATTCTTAGAAACATTTATTACTAGAAAAGCTAGTAAAGTTTGGCAAAACTTAAAAAACTAAGTTATAGTATTTATATATCAAAGGTTTCTTCAACGAATACTATAATGTAGTGCATTATGGATAGAAGGTTGAATTCATGTAGGAATTCATGATGTAGTAAATGTAGCTACTCCCAGTAATTTTTGTTTACTTGTTTGGCACAAGTAATAGTGTCACCACCAATAAGAAGCACAGAATCAGCTTGGATGCAAGAAATGAGCAATATATTTTTTTTCTAAACACTACCTCTGTATGTGCGTGTATGTGCATGTATGTATATATATACATACATACAAAATCTTGAAAGAAATCACTGGCATTCGATGACTTTTAAATTTTGTTTGGACAAACATATCTATTATCAAAATTATGGCATAGATTTTAGATTTTTAAAGGAAAACTCATACTGTGAATTTTCTAGTGGCTTAGGACATAGATTGGTTTTTGTAAACCACACTACTTTAAAAAATAGAGCAATAGAAACATGAGCAATGGATTTGTTTAGCTATTTGTCTCCACATGCTTTCACAGTAATTCCCCTATGGCAACCACATTTATTCCTTCATCCCCTTTCTTACTCCAACTTCCCCTTTCATTTTCTTACCAAAATAATTTCTCCTGATTTATTTAGGTTAGTTTTCTTGATTTAGGTTATTCTTAAATATTAATGCTTCTTCCCTAAATATCAAACCAAAGAACTGCCTGACAAATATAAAAGGGAATAGCAAACACTATCATTTCAGAGTTCCAGAAATCCTTGGAATGCAAATTGATATATTAATAATTCATTCATTAAACCTACAAATATTTATTGAGAGTCTACTATATGTCAGCTATGTATTATATATTTGAATACTTCTATGAAAAAAAACAATTCTCTGTAATTTATTAAACATTCAAATTGTATATTCTGCCCCTCTCTCCTTATACTAGTTGTCCCCTTTGTTATCTAATAATTATTCTTTATTCTTCAGTGCAACTCTGTGGTAAGATGCTTATGTCTCTATAGTCTGGAACAAATAGGATATACTATCATGGGTAGAAACAATGCAGCAATAAATTTAACTTAATTGTCTTAGCAATTGAATCACTAATATTTTTTAATATAAGGATTACAGATAATGCTAGCACATTGCAATTATTTTTTCAACAAATTACTTAAAAATAATACAAAAACTTATTGCATAAGATCCAGTTATTTTCAGCACTTGAAGTGCATATCAGCTGCATTTGTGGCATCGTGACAGATGGTATTTTCCCTTAAAGAGTTTTCTTTTAATATGAAAATGTGTGCTAAATGTGGATAACCTGCTTATTCTCTTTGAGACAACAGTTTTATGAGCTTTCTGTCCAAAGTTTAATTAGCTCTTCCGCACTCTGCCCTTTTTTTTTTTTTTCAAGATTGTAGTTATTTCCATTTTCCTTTGGGTTAAGAAAAAGGTTGAATTGTATGTTTAAAACATTAGCCAGTCACCAAGAGTAGAACTGCCTCCTGTGTTCTGCCAAGGAGAGTAAATTTCTTGGAAAGATATCAACGCTGAAAAACTGTCAATAACTTTTTTGGCTGCCGTTGTTGAAAACATTTTATTAGTATTTGATCGGTGTTTTAAAACAGATCAAAATATACTCAGGATTTATAGACTTTGAAAACAAATGGTTATATAGTGAGCCAACATCCTTTTCTTTCTCATTATACTCTTTCTATTCAAAAATATGAATCCATATTTGAACCTCTGGTATTATATTATTTTGATGTGAGGTGTGTTCCATCTGGATCCCATCCAGAGAGTTTTAATGATTGAAGTGCCAGTGAAGCACCTATAATGTTGAGTAAAATGCAGGCAACAAAAATTTAGGAAACATAGATCCAACTGTCATAGTGGTCAGATTCCCTGGGTATCAGTTTTCTGAAAAATAAGGAGAATAACAATCCCCTCTCTATGTATTTCAAGGGATTGTTGTATGTATAAAGTAAAATCAAAGTCTAAATAAAATTTTACAAATTAGAAATATTCCATAAATATAGCTATGTTTGTATTATAGACACCTGCTATCAATAAAAATGTACCAAAGATAACCATACAATTATATTTAAACCCATCAAAAGGTATTAATTATAAAGAGAAGGCTAGAAATGTACACATATAGTATGCAGTCAATTATATAAAACATCTGCTTAGAAACACCAGAAGGAAATGAACTGAAATGATAATTATGATCCTCTCTGGGTATGGTGACTATGGGTAAATATTAATTTCTCTTTTAATCTTATCCATATTTTTTTCAAATTTGCAATTGTGAGCATATGCTAGTTTTATAAAAGAAATACGGATGTAAAACCTGAGAATTATCTTTTTTCAGTTATATTTCACTGATTTAGTAATAGTGAACATAGAATTTAAACTTTATTTCTACATTACTGATAATTGCTCGTAAAATTAAGATTGGATTATTCATACTAAAGTTTTCAAAATTCTTGACCTGGATCTTTCTTTCAAACATTTTGTCTGTATCTCTCATCCATTATAAAATGGAAAGAAATATTTGCTATCTTATATTGATTTTTAAAAATAGTTTTAAAGATTGTTTCTTCCTCCTTCTATATTAATCTTTCCACTAATGTCTATTATTTACTTTTATATGTGATTAGACTTTATTGATATAAATTTTTCTCCCAGAATGTTCTTCAGCTCTCTTAAGCTCTCGGTACTATTCTTGAATGCTAGCCAGAAAGAGTAGACTGATGTCTTACATGCTCCTGGAATCCAGAGAACAGACAGATTCACAGTGTCTTTTTTGCTGCATGTTATGGAGTAGATAGATTCATTCCCATAGTGTAGACCAACTGCAATATGTGAATTGAAAACTTTGTTTATATATGATGCTCTCTTGAAAACTAGGCACAAGTATAAAATAATTTTAAACAGTTCTGTGATACTGATAAGGTAAAAATTGAGTCAGTCTGCTTTCTCATATTATTTCCACCTTATAATGTCACACACTAAAAATGCTGTTGAAATTAAAGTTTGGTACTATATAATTTAGGTACCTTTTTTCACTTTATATGAGGAGTTCAAGTTCAGAAGCAAAAACGACTTTGGGAAAGGGAATATTTGATGGTTAGAAAGATAATTTTCCATAACATCTACCAGAGAAAATATTTTGGAATATCAAAAGAATTTGAAATGCAGATCATGCCCTCCTTGTATTAATGTTCTTCTCCCATCCCATATAAATTCCATGAAGGCAGTGGATTAACTCTCTCAGTGGTACCTTTGTTACCCATACTAAGATTAACTGAACTCAAAAGACAAGTCTTTCAATAATCTAATCTAGTCAAAGATTATAAAGTATGCTGACTAAAGAATAAATAAGATACTTTGAAAACCATCTAAAATATAATATATAATTATCTACCATTAGCTGAACATATTAGAAAGTTTTGCTTTCATTTTTAAACAGTTGACTTCAGGCCAGTTTCTCATTTTGTTTTATTAATATTTTTCTCATCTTTCTCTGGCTTGCATTCAGAACTCCCATTGACTTCCAGAAGGATCTTCGCATTTGGCTCAGTTTCAATGGCAGAAAACAAGATATTGAACAGACCGTTCCTAATTTGGAATATCTGTAAAAGAACGATGCTCCACTTCCACACTGGCTATCACACAATGCATTCTTTATCATCCACTTCAAACAGCTCAAGTAACACCGTGCGTAACATTTTACATGGTGAACTCAAAGAATGTAAAAAAGTTTGTTTACCTTTTCATAAAATTTTTAAAGTTTCCTATTGTTTCATATATATTATTTCATGTAATCCTTGTATTATTTTGTGAAATTTATACGATAGATACAAGTTTCTCTATTGTACAGAGAAGAAATGATGGCACAGAATTATTAGCTGTTTAATAATAATTCCATCAGTATTTCCTGTGCTTCTGATTCCTGAAAGGTTGTGGCATTGTCAAAGGGAGTTTTACAAATCAGTATAGAGCATTAAGTATTTTCTATAGAATACAAGTATTTCTCACACATGTAAGTAGCATAATTTTAAAATGTTTAGCTACCATATTGAATTAAAAAGCTAGCTATGTCCAATATAGTATTACTATAGTCATAATATCTTTGTCATTATCAATGAATGTAAGAACAATTACTCTCACATATGAACTCACCAAAATTATTTTCTGATATTAAAGAGAATTCGTAGGTGTAATGAATTTGAAAAGCTCTGAACCAGCCCATGTTGATAAAGAAAGTTGCACTATAGAGGGCATTATTCCCAAAAATTTACCCTAAAAGCTATTGTATATAGTATATATATATAATCATATATATTATATAATATATACATAACCAGATGTATTCTAACTATTGAGGCGATCAAGAGAAACTCTACATCTAAATACATTTTAATTGATTCCCATTTTTTCAATAAGAGATATGCTGTATAACCGATATATCATTTTCATTTGATACCTTCCCCAGAGACAAAGAGACCCAAGTCCCAAATCAACATAGTGCAAAGGAAGGGAACTAACCTATGCAGAAGGAGTAATAGGCCTTACCTTTCAGTGTGCTATTGCAGAGATTGATCAGTAAAGTTACAAAAAGTGCCATTCTAGGAGCCATTTTGCACTATCTCAGTCAAAAGTCAGAACGCAAAAGGAAGGGGACTTTTGTCTTATAATAGCATTATCTTCAGTGACTATATATCTATGGGAGTAACACAAATAAGAAGCTATTGGCATGAGTGAGGAAAGGAATCACAATTGAAGTAATACACCAGTTTGAATCCTCTAATTTATTAACAAAATATTAGGTCATGAAGCAATTCCAATTTCAATACTAATAATATCTGCTAGTGTCTTAGGATTATTCAGAGTCCACAGATCACAAGAGAAGAATACCTATGAATAAGAAGCAACAATGGAAAGTAAAGACAAAGTATATCAATTATAACTTCTAATGGAAATAACACCACTCTGCTTCCAATTTGGATACAATTCTGTCTTCTGGTTATAGCACCTTCTCCCCATTAAATGTGCCTCTGACCCCACCCACCCTCCAAGAAAAGAGAGTGCCAATACTGAAGTTCATATTCCATGAACTGACAAATATTTCTCAACTTCAAATCTTGTGGTTTTACAAATCATTTTGTTTGTTTTCTTCAAGACTTGATAGAAATAATACAACAATTTATCACTATTTTGAGTTGACTGTGGGTAAGGATTTTTAACAGTTAGATGGAATATATTTCATGCTTAAGATATGTCAAAGAAAGGACTGCTTGGGAGAGATATAATGTCTGTTTTCCTAAGGCAAAAATTTAAATTCATAGAAATATGATAAATATATTAAGTCTGAAAACTGCTGCGTAACATTCAATCAGTGCTGAAAAGATGTCATGACTCTCATAATACTACATTAAAAACTGTATAATTATCATTACAACGTATCTATAACAAGATATATTTAGGCATTACAGTTGTATAATGAGGTCCTAATGACTAATAGTAATAATCATAGTTAATATATAATTTCAAGATACACTCATGCATCAACTCACACTGTGGCATTCTTATTAAAAAGAAAGCCTGAAAATAATTTATAAATTATAAAGTAGACTTGTAAAAATGAAGGAACATGAATTATTTCCTTGTGTGTGTGTATATGTATAATACATTGTGTATATATACATATATATTTCATTGTATGCATACACATACACATCCTACTGGTTCTATTCCTTTGCAGAGCTCTGACTGATGCACTGGGTAAAAGGTATACAAGAATTCCCTTTGGTACCTTTACAATTCATTATTATTCTTTTAACTTTTCTATAGATTTGTAAATTTTTTGATGGTAACTTGTGGGGGAAAGAGATTTTATTCTTTCTTAAACTACAAGATGTCTATCGAGTGGCTATTATATTAGTAGTATTAGTCCAACTGCCCAATAATACTTTCAAGAACTAGTCCTTTCCTATATGACCTTTATATTGCATGTACCATGTTGGCATTTCATCCCTATGTTTGGTGTCTGATGAGCACAAAGATAATTCTGTAAGGTCAGGTGATTCTGTAAGGTGGAGCATTGCCAGTAACTTCTATTCTTCTCTTTAAAAATGCAAAAAAAAAAAAAGTTCCAGAAGCCCCTATGGACTTCCTCTTACATTTTACTAGCTATAACCGTTTCATATAATTTTGCTTAGCTACAATGTTAGATAAATGAATATTTGTTTTTTTAGCCTCTAGTTTGGAAGCAAGTAAAAGAGAAACACATTTGACTATGGATGTTTGTGTACCATATTGTGTCTACCACTAGAATAATTTGTTAATATCTAGTAATGCCAAAGATGTTTATATACTTTAATTCAGAAATTTGGGGCCTAGATTCATGAATTAGAAAATCGTCAACCATATGTAGGAAGAAACAAGTGCAATATGCCTGCAATATAGTTCCTAATATCAAAAAATTGAAATCAACTTAAATGTTCTCTAATATAAAAGTGAATAAATTGTACTACATTCATAAAATACTATACTACACAGCAACTAAATGAATAAACTAAATAACATTTATGAACCTGTATAAATTTCAAAAATGTTAAAATAAAAAAGCAAATTAGAGAATGATGGCCAATTGTATACATTATACATAGAATGACAATATGTAAACTTTGAAAATAGACAAAACAATGTTATTCATTTCATAATTACATATATAATTAGCAATGTCTAAAGCATGCAGAGAAGATCAAATTCAAGGTATTGGTTACCTATAGAGAGAAATGAATAATTGTTAACAATGTTATAGCACTTATTATGGGCCAGAAACCATTCTAACAAATTGGATTATTACAACTGCCTTATAGATAACAAAACTGAGAAATAAGAATGTTGAATGACTTTTCCAGGATAAATAAACTCAAAAATGCAGAAGAAAGATTTGACTCAGGCAGTCTCACTCTGGAAACCATACTCTACAAGTCTCCACCTTGAGAATGACCTTGGGAAGGACACAGGGAAGCCACCACTCTAACTGTAATTTACACTTTTGAAAATTAAGGATTAGACTTTGGCAAAATGTTGGTATCAAGAACTCTGAAGAGCTTGAGAATTTATTCTATTTGCAAGCTGCTATGTTAGTCTGCCTCATGGATGCTGACATCCACGGATACTGACAGAAGGCTTCTTTACTATTCATGTAGCCAAAGCACCAGCCTTTGACCAGTTCTCTGAACCCCAATTCCCAGAGTGATACACATAGAGTCAGAAAAAAACTTCTATATATCATGTATTCCATTGGAGGAGAGGAACCCTGAGTTTAGGGTACTTGAAATCTTTTATAAGGAGCAGTGTGCATGCTTGCATAGAGAAGATATCTCTGCTTTCTAAGATATTTTTGCAATAGAAATATGTTTAAAAAGTTAATCCAGCACAAAGGCAGTCAGTACTTCTGCTTGCACAATGTGAAGAAAACCGAGAGATCCATGCAGGATTGGTTCCCAACAGTTCAAATTTGGATGCATTATGTAATGGTTATACTCATAGCAAAAATATTATTTAATATAGCATTGTTTGTACTTCTATGGGTATCTAAGATATTTCATAGCTTAAAATAATGTTTAAAGTATATAGTTGTTTTAAAATAATAAATTATGTTGTACTTCCCTAATTTCTGTGGCAGTAGTGTCACATCTTTGGGGAGCTTCCTAATCCAATGCTAGGATTCCTGTAGTGAAATACATCTGATGTCCACATAAATATCAGATCTTGAGCCACTGGTGTTTTATCAGGTAGCTATATAAGATAGAGTCTTTTGGGTTGCAATAAAAGAAATAAACTTGTAAAACTTTAGCACAATTTTTGGAAGAATGTTGGTAGCTCACACACTAGACAGGAGAATGTAAAACAGTCTTAGGAAACGATGTGATATGTATATATACATATATATACACACACAAACATAAAATATTTTATCAGCTAATATGTGATAAAATAAAGGCATATCTATTGCCTCTATTTACATAAAAAGTGTAAAGAAATACTTAAGAAATAATTTATATTTTGTATGCAATCAGAACCACCATGAATTTGTATATATACACATGCATATATGTATGATGTATGCATATATTTGTGTATATATGAGCATAATATACAGATTAATAGAAGTTTAGGAGCTTTAAATTGTCACCTGACGCTCTTTCAATTTATGCTATATATTTCCCTATAAATTATGAAAATATATGGAGTTATATATGCACATAAATTTTAAAATAATATGTGATAAATATAGAGTTATATCCACCTATTAAATAAAAAGGGATATATGCAGTAACAGGTACATGATGGATTGATTTCTTTATGTTATCTCTACCATATGCATATATTGGTTTATATTTGAATATAGATGCTAGTATAAGCAATCTATATGTAGATCAATTAATATAAAGATATTTAATATGTTTAAATTGCTCCTTGACATCCTTATAAGTAATATACATATTTATAAATATACACATATACATATGTAAAATTCCTTAATGGATAAACATCAAAATAATTTTCTTTTTTGCTTTCATAAAATATTTGCAATAAAAATCCTTGTGTGTGAGAATGGGAATTTATAAACAAACATGCATGCATACATACCTACCTACAATGAGAGGATTTTTAAAATTCAGATCTACTAAGTAGACTTTCTCAGTAAAAATGTGGGTATATTTTAAATTTAAAACATATAGCACAGATATTGCAATTGAAGGAAGCTGCTAAAAATTCTAGATTCTCTGGCCCAAATACAAATCTGTATAAAGATATTTAACCCATCACCTTTGCTGTTGGGGAAGAGAGTGACAAATTTTGTCATCAAAACCAGAAACTCAATCCTGGCAAATTGCTTTTCCCAAAGGTTATAGCAAGTCCCATTCCACCCAAAGTGTATGAAAGAATTTATGTATGCACATAGCATCATTAGCTGTAGATGTTATTGCCTTTTAATTTTCCCCTAACCTTATGGTTTAAAGCTGTGTCACAGCATTATTTTAATCTCCATTTAATTAACATTTTGTAAGTTTAAACAAATTTTTATATACTTTAGTAGTAAATTGATTTCATTTATTTGAATTATATCTTTACCAATTATCTATTTTCAACAGGTTAACTTATCCCTTGTAAGTTAGAAGGAACTCTTGTTATATAATTCATGTTTATTCTATAAGTCATAACTTTGCATTCCATTTCTTTATTTTCTACTCATTTACGCTGTCTTTTGCCATCAAAATATTGAATTTTAAACTTTTAAATATGTCTAGGTTTATACATGTTAAATGTGTCTTTATGTCTTTCATCTTTCTTTACATAGCTTCATTTGAATTGCACATTCATAGTCATAAAATTTTTGGCTTAATTTTTTTTCAAACATTATCTCATAACGTTATACATACCTCTTGATGAGCATTAATTATAATGTCAGTCAGGTTTTGAGAGTGATGAATAACATTTCAGAGTAAACTATCTGGTAAGCTTCTAGAACATACTACATGTTCTCAATTTTTAAAAAGGGACAATATAATTTGAATACCAGGTTAAGATAGACATTTGTTATGAAACTCAATAAACATATTCCTTACCAATACAGGGGCCACCCTGCTTCTAAGAGAATGTCAATTTGTTTCAGATTGGACAGAGTTAATTTTTTATGTGTGA